GAGTGCACACCACTGGGAGTGAACCCTCATGTGAGCTGTGGACTTTGGGTGATATGTGGGTGTATGGCAGATGGGAACTCCTTGCACTTTGTGCTCAATTTTCCTGTAAATTTGAAACTACTCTAAAAAAATAAAGTATTTTTTAATCCAAATTCTGGCACTGTCCAGAAAATTTTTTAACAGGTTTATTTATAATTGTTATAAAGTTGAATTACCAAAAAAAAAAAAAGAGTTTGGAGGCCACTGCAAGAGGACATTTATATGTGCATAACAGCCCAGAGTTAACTTACCACAGGGATGAAGGGGAAGAGGTCCTGTGTAGGGGTGGAGGACCAGGGACGACCTGACCCACCTTCTTTCTCCCAGGAGATACCGGGTGGGTGGTGGGGCTGGAGCAAGGTGCATAACCTCTCTGTGTTTTGGTTTCCTCATCTGTGAAACGGGAGAAATATCAGTATTTAATATTAATCGACATTTACTATTGTGAATATTGATTTGGTGAATTAATGCAAAGTGCTGTTTGTTGTGCCTGTCGCATGGGAAACTCTGCGTAATACTCAGAACCATAGACATGGTGCCCTCGGAAGCTCCCCTCCCCTGCTGCTGGGCCAGCACTGAGGAGGGAAGTATGGGCAAGACAGTTAACATTTACCGAGAGATAGCCACATCGTACCAGGGGCTCACTTAATCTCTCCCCCAGTTGTGAGGTAGGAACTCTCCTTCCAGAACGGGCAATGCAGAAAGTTCAAGTGATTTGCCCAAGATCACATAGCTAGGTAGAAGTGACTGAACCAGGCTGCAGATTGGGTGGGGCTCCACGACACCAAACCAACTCATTTCTACTCTGCCACGTGCCTGGTATCCCCAGTTACCAATGAGACAGAGGTGGGTTGCAGAGCACCATGTCTACATGTTCAGCAAGCAGCATGGAGGTGGTGACACCTTAGGAAGAATATCACAGTTCCCTCCACGTGCTAAAGGCTGTGTCAGGAATTGGAATGAGCGTTGCACGTGGCCTCAGAAAATATGGCACAAGTCCCAGCTACATCTACTGCTAGTTGTGTGGCCACGAGCAAGTCACTGTACCTGGGCCTCAGTTTCCTCATCTGTAAAATGCGTATAATAACTATCCAGACCGTGTGGATTTTCAGGGAAGCAACAAATCTAGAAATGTCTAGCAAGGGGCTGGCCTAGAGAACATACCCAACTCATGTTTACTGAATGTGACATACCACCAAGAATTAGAAGAGAGGGATAGAATCAGGCCTGGGGGCTGAGCTCCCCTTATTCCTTCACATGCCATTTCTTTCAGGAACGGGGGGAGTAGAGCCCCATTCCCCACATGGTGCCCCTAAGGGAGGGAGTCAAGGAGGGGAGCTGGAGGTTCTCAGTTCCGATCCAGCAGCCTCCGCCACTACACACAAACACACCCCCTTCTACTCAGCCCTCTCCTGGGAGGTTGTGCCATAATGTCCTGTCCCCCATTTTCCCGGGCATGGCAAGGACCACAACTGTGGTCCAGCTGCGGAACTCAGCCCAGCCGCTCCTGACCAGCCCTGTGCCAGAGACAGGAAGCCAGGAAGAATCGTGCCTGCTGGACACTGGGAAGGGGTGGACACCAGGGGCTGGAGCCGGGCCAGGCTTGGGAGTGCATTGTGAGCCCAAGACTATAAGAGAGCGCTGTGCAGGGTCACTGTCACTCTGGAGGGCTCTGGGGAGGCTTTGTAGACTCTTCAGATTGGCTTCCAGGAGGCTGGAAAGAGCACTGGTTTGGGAGTCTGGAAACCTGGGATTTAGTACGATTTTGTCACTCACTCACTCACTGTGTGACTTGCATTAGCTCCTTCCCCCTCAGGCCTCTTGTGAAACTGGAACTATCTACTGAGCTGTCTGGGGCAGACATAATTCTAGGGAATACACCAGCAGACAAAACAGAGTCCCCTCACTTCTGGAGCTTCCTTCTGCCAATAAACAAGCAAATGTAACAGAAAACAGGGTGGAAAGGCCTCTGAAGAAGAATGAAGTGGTGTGAGGGGACAGTGAGGGTTCCGGGATGGCCTCTCTGAGAAGGTGATGCAAGCAGAAGAAAGGCAGAGATGAGGAAGGGGGCCATAGGAAGGTCTAGGGGAAGCACATTCTGAGCAGAAGGAAGAGCAAGAGCAAAGGCCCTGAGGCAGGCATGAGGCAAGTAGAAAAATAAACCTAGGAAGCAATGAGGCTGGGAGAGAGATGGGGGCGAAGGTAGGAAGAACCGATCTAAGGGAGGCTGGAGGCCATTGTAAGGACTTGGCATTTTACTCCAAACTGATCAGTGGGCCCCAGGAAAGCTAGGCCTGGTCTGGGAAGCAGAGCCCACCTGGTGTTGTGTGTCAGTGGGTGGAAGGGGCAAGTTCAACCTCTGCTCATTTGCCCTGGGGTCCTAGCCAGGTTCTTCAGGAAGTTTTGTACCAGGCCTAGAGTGATCAAGGCGCTTGGCTCAGGTGCACAACTTAAAGGGGCATCAGAAAACTCAGTAATGAAGATAAACAATATTTTCCCGCAATATGTCTAAGAACCAAAATTAATGCAAAACATCCACAATGCACAAATTGCCAATACTTTAAATCAACACAGGATCTAACCCTGCACTTGCATAATCCTGTCTCATTGGCTTCACTCTAAGCCCAGCCCTGGTTTCAGTAAAACTTTATTTATAAAAATAGAAAACTGGCTGGCAGGACTGTGATGTGCTGATTTTTTTAATACTAAAATATTGGATTAAAACGTTATTTATCTCAGCACCCTTCTAAATTTTGCACCCTAGCCAAGGGCCCCATTTACCTTACCCTAGTCCTGGCCCTGGATAACAGTAAAAAGGATTGATTTCCCCACCGAGGGCCCCAATGTTCATCCCTCCTGAGACTCAGGGAAGTGAACAGACTTCTCCAGGGAAACATGAGGATGGCGGGGCTGGGATGTGAACTGTAGTCCCATGCCATGCGGAGGCCCACCACCTGGCCCTCACATCATACTGTGCTCTGCCCTGGAACACTGATTTTTTAAGTTTTTTATTCAAGCATAATAGGCATAGAAAAAAACCGCATGTACCTTAAATGTTCACCTTGCTGAATTTTCACCAACTGAGCGCACCTGTAAAACGGCGTGTGGGTTTCCATTTAAAGCGTATTACACATTTCCAACAAACCAAACATATTCATTAGGACTGGGCCAGATTCCTCAGACTTGGAGCTCAAGCAGGTAACTTACAGTAAGGATGCGGGACTGGGCTGATCCAGAGTTTAGGGGCGGGGATAGAGATTGAGAAGGGGTGCATCGCTAGGGTCTGTGGTTGGGGAGGGGGCCCTATATGCCAGAGAGGACAGGGAGAGAAGGCGGGGGCTGCCCTGGAGACAACGCCCCCCCCCCCACCTTGGAGGAGGGCGAGGCCCATGCCGCAGGCCCAGGTAAGCTGGTAAGAATGCAGCAGTCGCCGAGCCCAGGCGCGGGTGCGTCCCGGTGACTCAGCCCTTGCCAGGAAGGGGGAGTCCACTCTGCTCTCCGGAGCTCCCAGACAGCAGCCGGATCGAGGCTGGCTCCAGGGCCGCCAGGCCGGGGGGTGGGGGGTGGGGGCCGCAGCAGGCAGCCGGACCCCGGCAGCGGGACCCTGCCTCCCGGCCCCGGAGCCCCCCTTCCGGCCGCAGCCACCTGGGCTCATCGCAGGGACTCGGCCGCGGGTGGCGAAAGCGCGGCGGCCCGTCCTGGCCACGACGGCGCCGCAGGGGTCTTGGAGCGGCGTAAGTAGCGACTGCGGGGGCTGGAGGAGGCCAAGGAGAGACACCGAGTCCCTCACTCGGCCCCCCGCGTCCCAGCCCCCTGCTTCAGGCCCGGGCTGGAAGGCGGGACTTGGGGAACTGGCCCGGCGCCGCCGCCGCCGCCGCCGCCTCCCTAATTGCTCCCTGGCCGGCGTGGTGGGGCGCCCAGACTCGGCTCCGAGGCGGCCCGGGTCAAGTGTGGCCGAGACGCTGGCATCCCAGCAGCGGCCCCACCCGAGGATCATCCCACGGTCGCGCCCAGCCCCAGCCGGCGGGCCGCAGGCTCCAAGCCCTCCCCCCATTCTCGGGGGCCTGGCCCCGGGGTCACGTTGAGGGTCCTCGCCCCCCTCGAGCTGCCCGACGGCGGGTCCTCCCTGTCCCCACGGCCCCGAGGAGGGACCCAGCTCACAATTCCAGATGTGCCGTCGGGCTGTCCCTGCCTGGAGGGGCCCCTTCTCTCCTCTTCCCCCGAGCACCCGCAACTTGGAAGGCCTCGGATTCCGGTCTGGAGCCAAAAGAAGGGCTGAACTCCGAGAACCTCGCCTTGCCTCCAAAGTTGGTGTTCTGACACAAATTCCCACGCACAGCTGGCGGGGCTGGGGGGATTAGGGATGCTCGGGGCTGCTACGGGACGCGGGAGGCTAGATGGTCACTAACCGGATTTCCCGGAGGGACAGCTTCTGGCGGGGTGGGCACGAGGTCTGTGAGCCTCCGGCCCGGGGCGGAGACCGACGGGGTGGGCGAAGGGTGCCCGAGGATCCTGATCACTCCCATCTTTGGGACTACGAGATTTGGGGCCACAATTATTCAGACAATTGGCTCGAGGCGGTTGTGGCCAGAGTGGTTTCTCTCCCTCATTCTCCTGATTTTCTGCAAACTTTTGCAAAGTTGAGGGCAGGAGAAGGCGAAGGCGCAGCTCCTCGGGCGGCCCCTCGGGGCGCTGGGCCTGGGGGCGAGCGGAGATTTGGGGAGACTGGGGCCCAGCTCCGAGGTCGCGGAGGAAACGCGCGGAGTCGGCTTCCTGTGGGGGCTCCGGCTGCGGCGCCCCGCGGACAGACGTGTCCGGCCCAGGCTGCGCCGGGCCGGGCGCGGGGAAGGGACGTGGGGGGGAGGGGGCGACGGGGGAAGGCGAGGAGGGGGCGGGGAGAGGGTGGGCCTGGGAAGAGGGGAGGGGAGAGGCGAGCGGGGGAGGAGCGAGGGGGCCGGAGAGAGAGAAGGAAGAAGGAAGGGGGCGAGTGGCGCGAGCTGGCGCCGAAATGGGAGAAAGGAGCGAGTGAGAGGGGAGGGGGCGCGGGGCGAGCGGCGAGGAGCCGAGTGGCCCCTCGGTTGGGGCGCCCTCCGCAGGCGCGCATGGCAGCCCCCGCGCGGTGATCCTCCCGGGCCGAGCGAGTAGCGCGCAGCTTGCACGAGTGAGTTGGTCGGTGGCCGCGCTCGAAAGGGGGGAGGCGCGCGCCTGCGGCCGCATTACCCCCTGCGCGTCCCCCTCCCCCTGCTCGCGCGAGGGGACGGTCGGCCCTGCCCGCTGAGCCCTGTTTTCTGCAGGTCCCGGGCCGATGTCCCAGGTGAGTGGCCAGTGCCCCCCTCACTGCGACGCGCCCCATGGAGCCCCCAGCGCAGCCCCGGGCCCAGGTAGGACCGCGGATGGAGAGCGAGGCTGGAAGGGAGCGCGGGGCAGGCGGCCGGGCCGGGGTGGGGGGGGGATGGGGGTTGGGGGAGTTGGTGGGGGGATTTGCTAATTCTCACTCCTCCTCCCTGAGACGCGGGGAGACGGTTCTGGGGAGCTTGGGTGGAGGTGGGGGTGAGGAGACTGGGTATCTGAGTATCGGGGACCGGGTCCAAGGAGAGTGGAGGGCTGGGGTGATGGGGGCAGGGCCGAATGGAGACGGCGGCTGCGCCAAATTGGCTCCAACTACCCCCACTCCCAATACCAGACACACACACACACACACACACACACCAGTGCCGTGTCTGTCCGTCTGGGATTTGTGTCCCAACCGTTTCTGCCCAGTGTGTAAATATTTATGGGGGCCTCAGGCGGGGCTTGGGGTGTCTGAGTCTTTCTCTCCTTCCCTTCCCCCAACCCAACGAGAGCCTAGCGCTTCCCGAAAACTTTTGTCCGCCGAAAGCGGCTGCAGGACCCGGCCCCTCCCCTCCGTGCCATCTTGTCTCCCTGGTCTTCCTCTCCACCCGGGCCTGGCCTGGCCTGGCCTGGCCTGGCCGCTCCCACCCTGCAGGCGCGCGCACGCGTGCACACGCACACACACGTGCGCGCGCGCGCACACACACACACACACACGCACACCCACTCCAACCAAGTGCCCACAGCCGGAGTGAAATGCCCCTACCCCCAATTCACAGGATTTGTAACCTCTCTGGGATTCCTGCCCGAGCCTTCCAACCCTGGAAGGCTTTGTGACTCCCTGAGGGGTATGGGGTGAGCGCCCTGGGGCTGTGGTTCTCAGTCCATTCTCCTGACTGTGCCCATGAAAGCTGAGGCTCAGGGCGGCACACAGGGCCAGGGAGAAGTCAGGAGCAGCTGGGATTTGTTCAGGGCCAGTGGGGTGGAGAGCAGGAGTCTAGGCCCAGATTTCGGCACTTCAGTCCCAGCTGTAGATGAGTCTCGTTTTTTGCCTTCCTCGCTTTCTCTCCTCTTTGAGTCTCTGAATAAGAAGGTCGGGGTCCTGGACCTCTGACACTAACTCCCTGCATGGCCTTGGACCAGTTACTTCCCCTCTCTGGCCTCTGTCTCCCCATCTGTCCATAGGGGCCGGTGTGCCTGTTGGAGAGGTTGTGGGCTGCCCACATCTACCTGCTGCACGCCCAGGCCCGGCCTGGCGGGGCGGCTCCTACAGCAGAGTGAGGACCAGTGGGAGATGGCTGGCCAAGGGCCAACGCATGCATGGGACTGATGTGTCTGCTGTGTATCCGCACTAGCCCTCAGATCCTCTCCTCTTGGTGGGGCCCCTGGAGCAGAGACTTCTGGGGGATGAGCTCCTCCAAGAAGTGGACTCCTTCAGCCTGGAGAGAGAGAGGTTGGGGCGGGACCAGGAAGGATCTTTCTCTGTGTCTGGGAGCCTCTCTCCCTCTTGGCCTCTCTCACCCCTCCTCACTTTCTGGGCCTCTCTTCTCCCACCCTCTCCCTTTGCCCTGCCTTCCTTCTCCGCTTACTCTTCTCTGCTGTCTCCCCAGCTACCCCCTTGCAAGATCTACTGCCCCCGTGTGACCCATTCTGAGTCCCAGCAGGGAGAGGAGGGACTTAATGTGCTGGGGCCGGGTGGGCCGTCTGGAGGGGTAAAGCCCTAGGCTGTAACTTGAGGCGCCCCCCCCCACCCTCCAGAGGCCCAGAGAGCCCCCTCCCCAGCCTGGGCTGGGCCAGACAATGTGGCTTTCATAACTCGAGGAGGCCTGGCTCTGCCGCCTTGGGAGAATGAGCCCTACTGCCCAGGAAGCCCAAACCGCAGGAGACCCAGCCAAAACCCCACAGACGCCTGAAGCCGAGACCAGAATCCCCCACACTCCCTGCTGAGCGCCGACAGAAGAGCAGGGCCTGAGCACTGCCCCTGGGGGGCCTGGCCGGCAGGACAGCCAGGGAGCAAGTCACCCCTGCCCTCAGCTGCCCAAGATGCAGACAGGGTGCAAGGGGACTCAGGGCACCTCTGATTGGGGCAGGTGGCCAAGCCCCCACACCCTTGGCTCCCCCTCAGTGCCTCCTCCCCACCCACCCCTGCAAGCCCTGGAGAGCCTGGCTCCCTAACCCACAGCAGATTTCTGTCCAGCACTGAGGCGTCACATTCCTGCTCTTGGTTCTAAATTGAATTTCCTGGGGAATTGGAGCCTTCAGACCTAAAATAAGACCAACCCAACCCAGCCTAACTGGCCAGCTCAAGCCCTCTTCAGTCCTCAGCCCCGGAGCTGGGACTGGGGCCGGTGTGTCACAAGGGCGCATCCAGTGAGCCCACATTCTCACCTCCTTAGGTTTTGGAGCCAAGTGCCACCCCTAATCCTCACCCCCTCGTTCTCTCTTCTGCCCCTGCCCTGGGGCATTCCCAATTCCATGATTCAGTCCTCAGCAATAGACACTTGCTGAGTGCCCCCGAGGGTGCAGGGGTGAATTCTGCCACCACCCCAAGGGAGCAAGCTGGGGAGGCCTGAAAGATAGGTTGGATTTGGGGAGTGGGAGAGGAGAGGGTTAGAACCTCCCGGTCAAGAGAAAACACGTAAGCCGGGGTGGATTGGTCAGAAGGCCCAGTGGTGACCTGGGGCCATGGAGAGGTCAGGCTGCCTGGAACACAGGATCCCTGTCCGTTCATCAGGCTGAAGATGTCGACTGAGGCCTTGAAGGCCAGGCCAAGGAGAGCTTGGAGTGTGGAGTTCAGTCACTACTCTCTGAGCAGAGAGATCCTGGCCCTCTCCAGAGATGGGCAGAGCTCCAAGGGGGAAGCTTAGATCCACTGTCCACAAGACCATGGAGAGGTCTGGGTTTGAGTGCCCAGAGACTGGAGCTCCAGAACAAGGGTCCTGTGGGCACTCTCCAGGCTTGGAGTGAACCCATCCCACCTAGAAGAGGCCCCCCAATTCCTTGTCCCACCCCTCACCTTGGTGGACAGCAGGCGGCCAGAAGGAACTCAGCAGGGTTCCTGCTGAAGTTGTGAGTCTCTTGGCCTTCCTCCTGGGCTTATGAATTTATTTTTTAAAGATTTTCTTTATTTATTTGATTGTGAGAGAGAGAGCACGAGCAGAGGGAAAAGCAGAGGGAGAGGGAGAAGCAGACTCCCTGCTGAGCTGGGAGCCTGACGACATAGGACTCGATCCCAGGGCCTGGGGACCATGACCTGAGCTGAAGGCAGACGCTTAACCACCTGAGCCACCCAGGCGCCCCAGGCTTATGGATTTAAACAGAACGTTTCCACTCCCTGCTGGGAGGTCTTTCCAGAACTCAGGGTATTGGCTCCAACCCTATCCCGTGTTAGGGAACAAAGTGTGTCGAGGCATAAGGTGCTGCTGCCTTTCTATATTCCCCTCTTGTAGATGGAGACCCTAGAAAGAGATGCAGGGCAGGGGCTTCTGCTCAGAGATGCCGTGTCACAGGGCATGTGTGACCCCCTGTGCACCTTAGACAAAAGTGGCCCTCTGGTCACACAGAGCAGGGATGTAGCTGGGCAGGCAGATGGCGCCTCCGGGGAGGATGGGGCCGTAACCAGGCACTCCTGCCAGCCTGGGCAGGCGCCTTTATGCCAAACATGAATTGCACATCCATACAAGAGCCCTTGGCCTTTGCTGGCCTCCACTTCCTTCCAGCGCACTCTGCATCTCTACCCTCTTGAACATTCCTCTGGGAGCTTCTCCACAGAGATGTTCTCCCCTCTGTGCTGAACAGTGGGGGCTCATGGTCACAGGAAGGAAAATGAAGCTGTTTTGGTCTCTTGATGGTTGAGCCCTGGGGCTCCCCCTGTTGTGTGACTTCTCTTCTCCGTGGGCTTCTAGGGAGAGCTGTTTCTTGGCACCGGGCCCTCCAGGTAGTACCTCTCGTTCAGAGTTGCGGTCTTCCCACCACTTCTTAATGCCTTCTCATTCTGCTTCCTTGTCTCTGGCCACTCGGCACGGGTTCCTCTTAGGCCCTCAGTGTCACATCTGCAGGGTCACTTCTTGGCTCCAGGAGACCTGTGTCTCCGTGTTTCCAGGTCAAGGTGACTGGACTGGATTGTCTTGCCTCCCTGATACCCTTCCGAGGTCTGAAGCTCGCCCTAGAACGGCAGGTTCCCTGCAGGAGGGTCTCCTCGGGACTTGGTCTGGGCTCTCTAACTACCTGTCCCGTCTGGCCTCCAGGTCACCAACCCTGTAGGTTACCTACAAGGAGATGCTGCCAGAGAGTGGCGACACGGGGGGGAGGAGGGCACAGATGGGGACCTGTCTCGCCTTCATCCCTCTCCAACCCTGGAGGGGGGCCATGAGAGCTGCAATCCTGGCTCCTTCTACTACAGGACCGATGGCGTCATCCATGTGCACCCCAGTGACCTCAGGAGGGAGCCTGCGAAGCGACCACGAGGCCCCAGTTCTCTAGGCTCTCCAGCCTCAACACCACCAAACGGCTGTGGCTTCCCTTGCTCGTGCTGCAGCCGCTCACCCTGGGGTGTTGGCGTCTGCTGCCCTTCTCGGAACGTTCTTTCCCCCTTCTTTGCTGATTGATTATCATTCAAGACCCAGCGTGGGCACTGCCTCCTCCAGGAAGCCTCCCAGACACACACACACGTGCACGCACGCCCGTGGAATGAGTGCCCAGCTTCTGTGCCTCCACAGCCCTGGTGCACCTCTTGCCCCTCGGTGTATATGTGACTGCACCCCACCCCTCACAGATGACTCCTGAGACAATGACCTCCTCCTCCTGGTTTTGGTCTACCCAGCACTTGACATACTGCAAGGGGCATCATAGCTGCTTCATAAATATTAAACCAAACAGCACAGGAAGGGAGGGAGGGAAGGCGGAGGGCAGGCAGGAAGGAAGGAAAGGAGGAAAGGTATGTGGACAGAAGGTTCATGGATGGCCCCCTGCGTTCTGGGCACCGCTGAGCATCTCATTTACTCGTGGAAACCCTGAGGGATAAGCATAAGGATCCCCCCCCCCACCACCACCACCACCCTTTACACACAAGGAAACATGAGTCTTGGTCACTTGCCCAAGTTGGCTACTGATAAAAGCCAGGGCTTGGATCTTCCAGCTCCTCGCTCAGGCCTTTTTCATTACACCACACGGGAGAGACAGCGCTACCCGTCAGGGCCATGGCACGGTGCCTCTAAGGGCCAAAGGCTGGAACTGGGCAGGCCCCTCCCTTCCTAGGAATCTGGAGCAAGCCCTGAGCCTCCCTCTTCATGCCGGCTTAGTATTAGCCCCCAAGAGCCATGGCTGAGCTGTTGTAGCCCAGACTCAGGGCTGGGAGAGGCACCACCCAGCAGGCATCGCTCCTCCCTCCGCCCTGTGTGTCACCTCAGCCGCCCGGTCCCCTTGCCCCAGCCCTGTGGTCTTCCAAAGGCCATTTGATTCCTCTCTCATGAACCCAGGAGATAGGGGGCTCTCAACTGGCCCAAAGACTGGATGGGGCGGGACAGACCTGACCCCTCCCTCCCTGGAGCAGCCGGGGTCACCATGAGGGGTGCCAAGCCTATAACTCCGCCACCCTCCCGAGCTTGCAGGAGGCCCGTGCCCCTCTCCCACCCCAGCTCCTGTCTCTGCAAAGGGCCTGTGGTTTTCCCAGGCAGGTGTGAACCACCTACCTGGGTCCCCTGGGTCCCCTGGGGCCTGGATCGCCGGGCTGTGAGGGATGGGGATCTCTGGAACAAAGGACTGCTCAGGGCCCAGGGGGGCAGCTGAGCCCCTGGATGGTTCCCTCCCCTCAGGCTGCTCCCAGGCCCCAGACCTGCCTGCCCCACCCTCATTGGCTTTCCTGATGGTGGCTTCCTGCCTCCTGTCTTGGCTGGGCTTCATTTGGAGACAGCTCAGAGAAAGCCAGCGCATGTAGGCCCCTGTGTTCTCTGTGATTGAGTCTGTTTCTATTTCCAAGACTAGTCTTTTGTCTATCACTCGGTCGCCCTGGGCGTGTCTCTCTCTTGGTCACTTTGTGTGGTGTGCACAGGCGGGTGGTGATCGTTTAGTCTCTGGGTTCCTGCCCTTTCTCTTCCTTCTCTGACTGCCTGTGGCTCTCCTCTCCCTATTCCCTTGTGGTCTCTGTGTCTTTCTGAGTCTCGTTTCTGTGTCTCCCCTGCTCCCAAAATGGCATGTGGCGGGGGGGGCACCCTCTCGAAGCCCCCGTCCCCCAGACTGCACAACTGGGGGTCTGATGAGAGGCTTGGGGTGCACCCTGCACCCTGCTCACCCTCAGGCCTTCCTGCATCCCTGGTGACACTGAGGGATGGGAGCTCAGGCCCCTTGCTGCCTCCCTACCCCACCTCCCATCCCCCCCCAACCCCCCCCCCCCCCCGCCACCGGCCCCAGGGGGCCCTAGTCCTGCTGCCTCAGGAGCTGTGGGTTTGAAGGAGGCTCCATTTCTGCCTTCCGCCCACCCCGCTCAGAGGCGTCGAGCCAGTCACTGTAATTACGTGTGGCTGTGGTCCGCCTCTTCCCAGCCTCTTGGGCCGCCTCCCTGCCTCTCTTCCTGCCCGGCCCCTCTGCCTCGAGCCCACCCTTCTCCTCACCCCAGTTTCTGACCCTCCCTCCCCGCTGTCCTCCTCTCTGACCTGGCTTCTCCCTGCGTGTCCCTCTCACCCTTGCCTGCCCCACACTCCCCGCTCTGTCGCCTCTGTCGCTGTCCCCACCCTTCCCTGCCTCCCCCTCCCTCTCTGCTGAGTCTCCCTCCCGTCCCAAGCTGTCTGCCCCAGGGTTTCTGGGGCTCCCTCCTTCGGGGCCCAATCCCACCTTCTGATGCCATCTCTCTCGGCTTCTGCCTTTCACCGGCCCTTTGGTTCTTTCCCTCTTCCTGTCACTCTCGATGCCTGTCCCTGCCCCTCCATCACTGGCCATCTGTCTGTCCTCTCCTGTGCTGTGTTTCTCCCCATGTCCCTTTCTGCTGCACATCTCTGGCCCCTCTCCCTGACAACCACACAGACCCAAGTGTGCACGTGCACACACTCGTATACACACACACACACACACACACACACCCTTGATCCCTCCTGACTTTGCGTTTTGGGAGCTTTCTATTTTGGAGCCTGGCACCATTGCCAGATAGGGTAAGGGCTGGGTAGCTGGTACAGAGAGGCCGAGAATGAGGGCTTATGGCATTCTGGGCTGTGGGAAGGGGACCAGGGCTGGGCAGACAGGAGGGCACCGGGAAATTATACCTTGGTCATGTGCTTTATCTCTAGCCCAGACCCCATCCCTCCTGCCTGGGCTGGAGGTAGTAACCGGATCCACTCACCCTATGGAGGCAGCGCTAGAGGAGGGCTCCCTGGAGGAAGCGGAATCCCCCATGCCCCAGGGTAATGGCCCTGGGGCCCCTCAGCCCCTGGACAGTACTGACCTCGATGTCCCCACAGAAGCTGTGACATGTGAGTCCTAGGGGGCCGAGGGGTGGGAATGGCAACGTGTAGGGGTCATGCTAGGGAATCCTATCCCTACGGGCTAGTGGAAATGCGGTGGGTGCCTGTGGGAGCCCAGCACTGGGCCAAAACCTTGAAGTGTGGGCAACAAAAAGGTGTAGGACACGGTCACCGTCCTTTCTGTCTAGGAAAGAGACCTCCACATACAAAATGATTAGTATAACATTAGTTCACAAGGAGGGTGGACGGGCTCCAGGCAATATGGTTCAAGAGCAGAGGGCGTGGGACCATATGAAAGGAGGAAGAGAGCTGGGGGTGCTGAGGCCCCAGAGCCAGAGCCCCCTGCAGCCCCACCCTTCAGGGTATCGAGGATGAAAAGGAAAGAGAGAAACCCCCAGTTACTCTGAGCAGAAAGGAGCCTATTCCCAGGCTTGGCTCAAGGCCCTCAAGGAGGTCCTGGGAGGGAGGGAGTTCTCGGCCCTCACCCTCAAGAGCAGGGGAAGGGACAGGCAGAGCTGTTTGTAGTTAATAAGAAGATCCACAAAATCTATAGACACGTGTGCACTTTCCAACTTTCTTTCACTGACTGGTTTCAGACTCTTCAAACCAGCCTGTACAGGACAGCAAGTGCCAAGTCCATTTTACAGATGAGGAAACTGAGGCACGCAGACGCACTCAGCCCTGGACACAGCTGGGGAACTCAGGTCTCCTGGCCCAGGGCTCTTTCCTGTGCCTGCCTGCTCAGCTGGCATGGCTGAGGGCGAGCCGCCTTCAGCCAGGGCATCTGGGGCTAAGTTGGACTCCCTGGAAGTTAGGGTTACTAAATCCTGCTAGCGCACTGCCCTCAGCCTCTAGACACACCCACCAGCAGAACTGAGAGAAAGAGGTCAGCGCCGTGGCCACGGAGGAGGGGGTCTGGATGGGAGCTGGACAGACACCTCTGTGTCTATGGGCCCGAGTGTTTGCTCTGTGACTCAGCTCCCATGACCACCCCCACGGCCATGGCCACAGGCAAGCTCTGTGTCTGCCCGAACCGCCCAGGGCCCTCAGCTCACCACACACTCCCACCCTCCGGTCACTGTGCCCATGTTTAGCCATCGGGGCAGGGGGCACGGAAGCTGGCCAAGGACTCAGGCCAGTCTCCCGCCGTGGGGCCAAGAGGTGGGAGCAGGATGATTCAGGCCTGGCTGCTTGCCATGGCCTTACCCCTGTTTACCCAGATGCAGGCACCAGCCACACCTCAGGGCCAAACGCTCCCAGGCGTGGAGCTTATCCAGAGCTGTGTCTCCCATCCTCTCCTAACTCCCCATCTGGCCTTCGGTGCCTTTCTCCCAACCTCCATCTCCCCCACCTCTCCGTGCCCCTGCTCTGCTTCCTAGCTGTGGAACCTTGGGCAAGTTTTACGCTCTTTGGGTCTCCATTTTTTTCATCTGTGAAATGGGGCCAATGACAGTAGATCTATCGAGATACGTAAAGAAGCTGCTCTATAGAAAGCTCTCGGCGCGCTGTTGGCACCTAATAACAGCCTAATGTGTAAGGTACGAGTTATAAGACGAGGGATGCCTGTGATAGGAGCAGCTTCGTCCCCAGTCCTTCATCTCCCAGCCTCTGCTCCACTCTGCGCTCTGAGTCCCAGCTCTTGGCCTCCAAGCTGGGCCCACGTCTGACCCTTTCTAGCTGTGGGACCTTGGACAAGTTCCTGTGCTTCTCTGGGACTCAGTTTCCTCATCTGTGAAAGGTGGATACCGCCTCAGGGAGAAACTGAGAGGGTTCGTGAGAGAATGGCGTGTGAAGCGCTTAGAAGGGTGGCTGGCAAGCAGAAAGTACTCCATGATGTGCTGTCACTACAACCACTTCGTAGAAGGCCCGGCCCTCTCGGTCAGGGCGAGCACTGAGGCCACCTTCCCCTCTCCTCAGCCTCCAGCTGCCCTCCCCAGACACCTCCTCGTACTATGATGCAAACCCAGGGGCCCAGCCTAGAGGGAGTCAGGGACCCACACCTCAGTGCCTAAGAGATGGAAGTACCCAACATTTATGCATTTACAGAGGGTGCCGCCCAGGAGCCAACAGCCCTGAGCAGCTGAGGGGGGCCCGGAGTTCTCCCTGTCACCTTCTCAGTCCCCTCCCCCAAACACACACACACACACACACACACACACACGTATCTGCCCCCATCTCTTGCAAACAGAACCATGTCATCCAGGTGAGCAAACCTGAGGTAAGGAAAGGGACTGGGTGCTTTGGGGGTATCCCCAGGGCCAACATTCCCTGGACCCCACTGATGAAGCTGAAGTTTGGTTCCTCAGCCTGGGATGTGGACTCAGGGAGTTCCTGGCCTCAGGGATCCCCCACCACAGGGCTCTCCTCCCTTCTCTCCCCCCTCACCCAGACGCCCAGGGCTCCCCGGGAGACTTGCTCTGCCAGCCACCCCTCAGAGGCAGACAGGGCAGGGGAGCTGGGGCGGAAGAGAAGAGGTAGAGGGGCTGCTCTGAGGCGCCCCTGGAGCCCAGGGCCAGGGCATTCATCTCCAAACAGATGTTTCCAATAAATCACCTAGCACACCAAGGGCAGAAATATCTGGGGGCTTGGCAGGGGCCGAGGTGAAGGTTAATGCTTCACTGCTGTCCCTCCGCCCCCCAGCCAAACAGTCCTTAATCCCTCCCCCCGACCACTGCCACTCTTGCTGAAACCCCAGGACCCCAAGAGCAGGAGATGGATTTCACGTGGGTGAGAAGGTTGGGTCCAGGGCTCTGAGCCCCCGCTGTTGCTTTGCACCTCTGTCTCTTCTGGAATGAGCACTGGCCTGGGGGTCATGAGCCAGGCTCAACTCAACTATTTCCTGGTGTGCCTCTGGGCAAGTCAGTTCTGCTCTCTGGGCCTCAGTTTCCCCATCTGCAGAATACAAGTCCGGCTAGGTGACCTGTGGCGTATCTAAGGATGAAGCAGGCAGGATGGGGGCAGAGCTCCGGGAGGCCGTGCGCTCCCCACCCCCGTTAACCTTTCTCATCATCTCTCTAGGCCAGCCTCAGGGGAACCCCTTGAGCTGCACCCCACTAGTGGCGAACGGCTCAGGCCACCCCTCAGAGCTGGGCAGCGCCAGGCGGGCAGGGAATGGTGCCCTGGGTGGCCCCAAGGCCCACCGGAAGTTGCAGACGCACCCATCTCTCGCCAGCCAGGGCAGCAAGAAGAGCAAGGGCAGCACCAAATCTACTGCCTCCCAGATCCCCCTGCAGGCACAGGAAGGTAAGCATCCCTTCCCCACTCTCCCTGGGAGAGGCCTCCTCAGCCGGGTCCCTCCAAGCACGAGGCAGGGACAAGCCGCAGTATCTTCAGCAGGATGCTTGTTAGAAGCTCAGGCTCAGGGCCACGCCAGGCCTCCCGGATCTGAACCTCTGGGTGGGACCCAGGAGACCGGGTTTTAACACTGCCTCCGGGGAATCTGGCCACAGCTACACCTGCTGGGGAAAGTGAGGCCTATCTGCCTTCTCAAGACCAACCCCTTCCCATGCGTGCTCTCCCAGAGTGGCTGTAAGAAGGAATGAAACCATCTGGGCTGAGCCAGCATAAGCCACCCCATTTTTGGAAACAAAATTTTCCTCAAGGCATGGACCGCCTGTTTAGTGAGAGCAGAATACCTGGCAGAATAAAATGATGCACCTTTGGGTACTTAACCGGGGGACACGCCAGCCATTGTTCCTGCAATATAAGCCCCCGCTGGGCCGCCCCGGACAGCCGGCTTCCCTGCCTGCAGCCCAGGCATTAGTTCCGCCAGGATGACAGCTGCCTATAGCTCAGTAGTGCTCGACCTTCACCCCAGAATTCTTAAGTGCATCCTGTCCACACTGGGGGATTCCGGCGTGGTCTTCTGCAAACAGGATTCAGTGTACACATTTGCACGTAAAATGTTCATCAGCCTTCCCACAGAGAAGATTCTGCCCAACAGTCTTAATTATGAAAGGAATGTTCATTCATTTAAAAATGTCCTGGGCCTCTGCTGTGAGCCAGGCACTGTGCTATGCGCTGGGTACCCGGTCCCTGGCCTCACAAAGCGCTCATGAGAAAGACAAACAGGTAATCACCATATGGGGTGATAAATACAGTGGTAAAACCACACACAGGAGGTTATGTAAACACAGGGGACACCCACACCAGCCCAGAAAGCTGGGGAGGGGAGTCTGGGAAAGCTCCGGAGGTGTCTGAGCAAGCCTTAAATGGTGAGTAGGAGGATCTAGCCAGGGGAGTATTAGCACAGAAATGAGAAAGGCTATCTTGGCTAGATTATGAAATTCTAGGTGAGGAATGGGGGGAGGTGAGAGTCCAAGCAGGCAGGGGCTGTGGGGGTGGGAGGCACCTTGTAAACTGTGCACTGGACCTAGACTTTATCTGGAGGGCATAGGGTGCCTGGGTGGCTGAGTCGGTTAAGGGTCTGACTCTGAATTTCAGCTCAGGTCATGATCTCAGGGTCAGGGGATCGCGCCCTGACTCTGGCTTCAAGCTGGACATGGAGCCTGCTTAAGATTCTCTCTCTCTCTCCCTCTGCCCCCCACCCCCTACACGCTCAAGGCGCGTGCTCTCTCTCTCTCAAGAAAGTTTATCTGGACAGCAATAGGGAGCCATTGAAGGATTTTAGACAGGGTAGTGACTTCACCGGATTTGCATTTGAAGAGAACTTCCTTGTTCAGTTTTCAGGTAGATGGCAGGGTGCCAGCTATACAAGAACCCCAGTCCCTCCACACAGAAATGGAATGGCAGAGTCACACCCTCCATGGCAGTGTGGGACTCCCTCAGGACCAGCAGCCTGGTGCCAGGGACCCACCTGGTAAGGGGAACTGGACACTGCGCTGCATGCCCAGCCCCCCGTGAGGGAGGCCAGCTCAGCATCCTGGCAGCCCAGTGAGCGGCTCAGAGCACGGGCTCCAGAGCCAGCCTGCCTGGTTTCGATTCCCAGCTCCACCACTTACCAGCTGGCTGCCCACGGGTAGACTCATGCATTCATTCACTTACCATCTATTTACTCAGCACCTCAATGTCAGGCGCCTTCTAGGGACTTGTAACGTATCAGTGACTACAGGGGACAAAGATGCCTGTCCTTGTGGAGCTTACATTTTAGTGGGAGGAGAGAGCCGCGTAGTGCCATGGAAGGTGGTAAGTCCTTCCAGGGGAGAGGCGAGGCAGGCCAGGGCAAGGGGCTGAGGGTGCTAGGGTGGGGCCCGCAGGTTGCAGTATTAAAGATGGTGGTCAGGGAAGGCCACCGCAGAGTGTTCCAGGAGGACAGAGTGTGGGAGGAGACCAGATCTCACTCCTAGGGAGGTGGAAGCCACCGGAGGGTTCTGAGCACAGGAGGGATGCACTCTACTGAAGTTTTGCAAGGGTCCCTCTGGGCTAATGTGTGGGGAGCAGATGCAAGAAGGGGTAGTCAAGGGTGGGGGCTGGGGCAACCAGAGAGGAGGTTGTTGCAGTTGCCTGGGTGAGAGACGAGCAGAATGGTAGGATTCTGGGTATATTCTGAAGCGATTTCTCTGTGTCTCAGTTTCTTCATCTGTCAAGTGGGGCTAATAGTAGCCCCATCTCACGGAGTTGTTCCAAGTTGAAATGGGGTTCATTCATGCCCAACACTTAGAAGAGTCCCTGGGACATGCTACGACAAGGGTTTGGTAAATAAATGACTAAGGGTGGTGAGGAGCAGGGACTCAATCCCGACGGCCTGGGCTCAGACCCTCGCTCTGCAGCTAACTGGGCAGGTGCATGTAACTCTGTGCCTTGGGGTCATCCGCTGGAAAGCTGGGCCCCTCGCAATCCCCACGTGTGGGAGCAGTGGGAGAGTCGCCGAGCCCTCGGCCGTGAGCCCTCTGAGCCTGGGTCCCTCGGCCCTGGCTGTCTCACCGGCCCTGTACCCCGCCCGTGCCCGCAGACTGTTGCGTCCACTGCATCCTGTCCTGCCTGTTCTGCGAGTTCCTGACCCTGTGCAACATCGTCCTCGATTGCGCCACGTGCGGCTCCTGCAGCTCCGAGGACTCCTGTCTCGGCTGCTGCTGCTGCTGCGGCTCAGGCGAGTGCGCCGACTGCGACCTGCCCTGCGACCTGGACTGCGGCATTGTGGACGCCTGCTGCGAGTCGGCCGACTGCCTGGAAATCTGCATGGAGTGCTGCGGGCTCTGCTTCTCCTCCTGACCGCCGCCGCCCCGCCCACCCGCGCGCCGCCCCGCCCACCCTCGCCGCGGCCCCGCCTCCGGTGGGGGAGGGAGGGGCCGCAGCAGCACCGCCTCCTCCTCGCGGTGTCCCGGCCCCGTGGCAGCGCCGACGACCCGGAGTGGGGGGCCGGGCTGGGGAGGGAGCCGCGCCTGGCCCCCCCGCCCCCCCCACCCCCGGCGAGAACACTGTGAAAGTGGGGGGCAGGAGCGCGGGCGGGGGGAGGCGGGGCCGGCGGGCTGTGCGCTTCTCTACCTCTCCCGGCCCGTGGGGCCCGCCTCCCTCCGCCCAGGCGCAGCAAAATGTGAAGTGAGACATCCCAGCCCGCCCTGGGCCAAGCCTTTCCCCAGTCTCCTTACGGGGCCCTCGTGGGGGGCCTGACTCCTACAGTGACCCCCGAGGTCCCCCAGAGGGCAGGGCTGGGCCAGGAGGGACAGGAACAGTATAGAAAAGACAGGAACGGGAGAGGGAGGGAATGGAGGGTGGGTCTGCCCTATTTGTTGCTGTAAATAAAGTTATTTGTCCGTCTCAGATCTCCGCACTCAGGAGTAGTGTCTCAAAAGCAAACACTCCCTTTCCCCGCAACACACACACAAAGCACCCAATGGATGGAGGAGGCCTCCCTGCCCTCTGGGGTCCCTTCCCTCCTTCATGTTCCCCCTGAAGGCAGGAAGAAGAGGGGTACCGACTCCCTACCATTTTTTCCCTCTTCCCGCCAAAGGGATGGGGAAGTCCAGGGAGGGAAGCGTTAACCCTTGGCATACAATTAATTAACAACAGATGTGTTCCGGTTTTGATTAATTAATCTCCTGCTGACTCCTGCTTCTCGAAGCCCTCGCCTGTGATGGCTCCACAGGCTCGGGGGCCTGTGTCGGTGGCAGAGCAGTGCCCGGGGGAGGAGCCGACTCTGGCCTGTCGCACCCTGGGCTTGCTCCTGGGCCACGCTGGGAAGCAAGTGTGGCCTGAGTGGGGGTCACTAGGCCCAGCCGCAATCCCGGACTGTCAGGGGGCCTGAGGAAGAAGAAAACTGACGGGATTAGCGGAAGCCTCGGAGGCCATGCGGCCAGCACCCTTCATGTCTGCAGGGAAGGCAGCCCTCCCCACCCCATCCTGGGCCTGGAGGAAGCCAGGAGGTGTCCAGGGTGAGTGAGAGGGCTGTGCCGTGATTGGACTCGGATCCCCCTGAGGAGAAGACAGGGCTGGAGAAGGCTTCCTAAAGTGGAGAAATTGGTGGGCACTGCTTCCAGAACAAAAGCTAGAGTGGCCAGGAGGATTCGGGAATGAAGGAGGGAGCTCAGAAAAAGGGCCAGATGAAATGTGAACTCTCTTAAGGAATGCCATATGGGGGAGCAGCCAGTGACTTTGGGAGGTGGGTGCGGTTGCAGCAGGAGGAGGTAGGGAGGGGGTGAGAAGGACTGCCCAGACCATGGCGTGCCTCCCCTACACACCCCCCACAACAGGTACACAGCCCTCACTTTGCCAACAGCAAGGTTTCCCTGACCTCTAGGATCTCATAGGAAACTCAGGACACAGAGAGGAAGGGACCTGTCCAGGGTCGCATAGTCAAGACCAAAGCCACGAGAGAAGCCCTGTCTCAGCCCCCCAGTGTTCATTTATCTATCTGTTGATCTGAATGTTTGTTTAGTGATTGCACACCCAAAGTACAAAAGGCTCATCTGTGCATACACAAGCATATACGCCTATTTTCTCTTTTCCAAAGATGTCAAAATTCTCTACGCGTTGTCCTGCACTGTTTTTTATCACTTGAGCATTCGTCTGGGGGATCTTCCTGAGCACAGTTAAGAGCGGCCTGGAGTCCCACCGAAGGGCCAGTGGCCACCCGGTTACCCAGCTCCGGCTTACTACCCCTTCTCTTTATTTCTCTACGACAAGCAAGGCAGCGCGAACAAGCTGTGTCTCTGGAATATTCCTAAAGGTGGGATTGCTGTGACGCTGACAGAGCACCCGATCAGAGTGGCGTGCCACTGGTCACATGGCCACAGGAGCGCCACTTCTCTCGCTGCCGTGGCTCTCAGTCCTGAGGAGGGCAGACGGTAGTGGGGGGCTTCCATGCAGTCCCCGCTCCGCCTCAGGTCTTCCCCAAGGCTGGGGGCTGCCGTTAGGGTAGCCAGGAGGAGGGGCGCGGTGCGCCTGACCGACTTGAGGTCTGGTCCAGGTGGCAGGAAGGCCCCCTCCCTGGCCCTCTCCCTTCCTGGGGTCCGTGGCAGGAAGAGGCACCTCTCCAATGCAAATAGCGATTTCCTGCTGCAGGCTCCAGGCTGTTTTCTTTAGGACGGTGGCTGAAACCTGAGCGGCTGAGCCGGCTGGGGGCAGGCCAGGGGCAGGGTTCAGCCAGCCTACCCCCCCCAAGACACACACACACACACACACACACACACACACACACGAGTGAACCCACAGACTCCTTGCAGTCACATCCATTCCACAAAGTCACACACACAGCACACGTACACACGTACGGGCACTCAGAGAGCCATGGCCAGCCCTGCTCAGCCCTGGGCTATGCTGCAGAGCCTCTGTCCACCCCTCCCCTCCCCCTGCCTCCCCCAGCCTTGCCCACGTGGCCCTCAGCGGGGCTGGGAAGCCAATGGCGTTTGTCTTCGAGGCCTCCCACCCACCCAGTCCTGCCCAGATACCCTTCCAGAGCAAGCCCTATTTCTGGACCCTTCTTCCCCTCTACTCAGCTATGGAGCTGTTCTCTGTTGGCTCCCCGATCTGCTTGCCACCTGGCTGCTCTGAGCCAGGTGTCTGTTCTAGCCCTGGCTTTGCTGTGGACCCCAGGGATGAGGCTCCTTCCCTTGGCTTCAGTGTCTTTATGTAGACCATGGAACATCAGTGAGACTCTGGAAATATAACACTTGCCACAGTGTTCAGGGAAATAGCCTGCCTCTCTGGTTTTCCTTCATCTACGGAGCCCCCTTTTGCCCAGGAGATTTCTTGACTGGCCATCCTCATGCCCTGAGTCGTCTAACCCAAGACAGGCATTACCATACTTGAGGAGAAGGTGGTGAGGCCAAGTTGCCTCTGGCCAGGACTGAGCTTGTGTGTCAGACTCATAAGATTTTGCCCCAGGACCGAGCAAGTAGCTAAACAAGGGGCTGGCTAATGAGGGGAAGGGTGGTCAGCCGGCCCCTCTGCTTGCATGGCTTCTATAGCAGCTTCTTTCTGTTTTTTAGCACATTTAATTGGCATTCCCCGTGCTGGTACCCAGAGCTGGGCAAACTGAGCCCCAGGCCCTGCCGCTCCCATGGCTCCAGGGCCGCCAGAACGGGACACTTGTAAGCAGCCTCCATGCTGGATTGCCTGCAACCAGTCATGCCCCGGGGCCTTTGTCCACCCCCCGCCCCCCACCACCACTGGGAGATGAGGCAGCAGTGGGGGACTGAGGGCTGGCCCCCCCCGAGGCTCCCAGGACAGTTGCTGCAGACACTCCCCATTGCGGAGGAGCGGGAAGCCAGTGTGGTCGCTCCCAGGACTGGTCCTGAGCAAGAAAGGAGCCTCAGGCTACACGTCGGGGCAGCAGAGGGGCCAGAGATTACAGACCCCGCCCCTTGTCACCTCCATGTCTATGCTCCTTTCTATGTTCTGACTCTCCTGGAATGACGTGGAGACACAGGCATAGGGTGGGCCCATAGCCACAGCCGTCCTGTTGACCCAGCCATCCCTTCACCCTTCACCTCTTGCAGAGGAGAGCCTCCTCCCAGCCTTCCTTGCTCCTCATCTGGTGTTACTATCTCTCCCCAACCCTGTAGCAGCCTCTACAGTCCACAAGGCCTGCCATCTCTAGGTGTGCCTCATCCCCTCCTACTGCAGGCAGGTAGGACTCTGGGGGCACTGGGAGGGGGTGGGAAAGGGAAGCACATTCATGCGCTGTGTCTACCCGACATTTCTCATTTTACCACCTCGAGCCCCCAGGGTCCTCATTCCTGGGCCAGTCACCGTGTCAAGGGATGGAGGGCTAAGATGGGCCAGGCCTCTGTGGCCAGGGCGGGTGGGTGACTTGGCTGCCCCTCCAGAACCATGTGGAATCCAAGAGGGGAAGCTTCCCACAGAAGTAGGGGTGCTGTAGCCAAAAGAGGGGGAGGGGCTGACAGATGAAAACACCAGAAGTCACGATGGGGTGGGACTACTGCGTGTGAGTCCGGAGGAAGCGCCTGGGTCGGGGAGGCCTGGCTGGAAACCTTGAATTGTCAAATGCAGCTCAGGGCACTCGGCCAGAGAAGAGAAGTCAAGGACGGCGGCCTTCAGATATCCGAAGCCCGGGGGAAGAGAGTGAGGCTTATTCTCGGGCTCCAGCAGGCCGAGGAAGACCAAGGAGCAGACATACCAAGGGACAGCTCCCAGCCCCAGCAAGGGAACTGCTCTGATAGTGAGAGCTGCCCGCCGCGCCATGGCCAGCAACAGCGGTGGGTGGGGCCTCCCTCTTCCTAGGAATGTTCTGGGGGAGAGGGGTGTGGATGGGGCCCCTGCCCTGGGGTTGACTGGTGGCCGGGAGGACAGATGGGGGGTGTCAGGTGGCCTCCTCAATTCCTGCTAACTCAGACCTTCCATGGCTCCACAATGCAGACAGAGACCGGCTGATGAGAGAGAAGCAGAGATGGAAGGCAGAGGGGAGATAGTGAGGGGACAGTGCAGATGAAGTGTCCTCAAGGCCCTGGAGGCAGAAAAGCCACTCAGGCAGGCTGCGGGCCCGTCCCTCAGCTCCTCCCAAGGTCGCCGGCCGCGGGCTGTGGGGGCAGTGGTGCATCTGCATCCCAGGTCCCTTCCGTGCCTGGAGCCTCCGCAGGGCCGGGCAGCTTGGCATTCATTAGGGGCTGGCTAATGGCTCGGAAGATTGGCCAGGGGCGCTGCTGAATAGAGACCTCGGTGAGATTTATTCCTAATTATCTCATTTGTCTCCCCCCATTACTCTTTATGGCTGGGATTTATAGGGCCATTAGTGGGGCCCAACCAGGCCAGGACG